CACTCTTCCTCAGAAAACTTTACATAACATTTAAATGTATTAAATAAATAATAAAGACACAAATATTTTGATTAATCATTCTCAGCCTTTGGGTTAGATATGAAAATCAGGGACACTGAAAAACTGTGGCAATTGTGGAAATAAAGACTACCCAAAGGAGAACAGAGAAGGACTATTTGTTCAGAGCTTGCTCTAGCAAGGAAGTCAGCTACTGTCACTTGAATTTGGCAGAGACTCAAAGGCAGGCAGAGGAAGGCTTTATCACAGGGGCAAAAGGGGAAGGCTCCCAATATGCCCTGATTAGAGGTTGTTGGCACGGGGAAGCTGGAGGTGGTTAAGTAGGAGGGCATCCTATGTGATTGGTAACGGAAACATGTTTGGCTTTCTATGGTTGGTCCTCAGTTGGAAACAGACAAAAACCAGGAAAAAAAACAGACAAAAGCTGTCAGTTATTAATTTAGTGACCTCTCAGGGTTAGGGAAGCACAGTCGTCCATCTTGGTTATCCTTTGAGAGACCACCCAGGGAAGAGGACTGCACAGCCCCAGAAGCAGACTCCAGCCATTTGGGTGGGCAATTCTGAGGACCTGATGCCAGAGCAGGGTCTAGAAAGGGAAACGCAGGCCCTGGGTGGGCACGTCCCCTTGGCCTTGCAGAGGACGTGTGAGGTTGGAGATGGGCTGGAGGAGGGGGACAGGGAGGTGGTCTAAAGCTAGGAGCCCAAGGGAGGGACCCTGTTGTCTGAGAAGCCACTGTCTCGAATCTTTGTGAGAACTCGAATCTCCCACGATGCCCTTTTCCTCTTGCTAAGAGACTCTTACCTGCAGATCCTGGAGTGAGACTTCGAATCCTCCCTTGGCTGAGAGAGATATCTCCCATCTCCAAAGGCCTGCTCAGGGATAGAATAGAAATACTACAGGCAGCTCTCCAGGGAGGGTCCAAATTTATCTTCTCAGTAATTTTAGCAACGGTCACAAACCTTTCTTTATATAAATCCATAACGAAAAGTAAAGTTTGTGTCTCAATTTCAAATATTCTGTCTCACTGGGGAACCAGTGTTCTGGACTTTTAGTTCCAGGAATATGATCCCTGTGTGTGTTTGCATTGGCCATTAGGAATAGGTCTGGGATCTCATTATGCCTCAAGACACATGGAGGTTATAAACTATTTATGTTAAAAGAGAGAGGGAAGGAGTCCTATCTGAGAGTCCTCGGTTATTTACCTTTTGTAAATTAATTCCCACTAGCCAGTGTGTCAAGGTGAGCATGACAGTATCTTCCAACCCTGTTATGTTGTGCATTTGAAACATGTCAAGAGTCGCCTGAGATGACTTACCTATTTTGTTGTCAAGCCTATTGTTTAACTGCTCAGCTATTTCCACTGCTCCGAGACAAACAGTGTAATTCAAGTTAGTTTTATGACAAGGCCTACGAGTTTTTCTAAAACACTTCCAGCAGTGAGCTCAAAACACTCATTTTCTTAAAAACAGAATTTATCATACGCAATCTTATTGTGACAGGGGAAAATGTTAAAATTAAAATTCAGAAGAAGCCCTTTAATCTAATGAAATCAATTAATTGAAAAAGTCACATAAAATTGGAAAGCATAATAAGAGACTGCACACACACACAGCTCAAATATTTCCTTTTATTCATCACATGTGCTATAAGGACAGCCTTTTTTTTTTTTTTTTTTTTTTTTTTTTTTTGAGCAGGGATCTGGAGAGTGAATTATATAGCTCTTCCTTATGTAAACAAGCAATGTGCACTGTCCAGGTCAACCGAAACTTAACCCAACCAGAGCAGAAGATGAATTCCACAGGAATCACCAGCATCTGCTTCCTAAATCTTCTCCAGCCTGCAGTAATTCTATATATTGAAGTTTTAATGTATTGTATTTTTTAAAATTGCACTTTACCACTTATTAAAACAACCTGATTTTTTTTTCCTTTTTCATCCAAATTGATTCAACACAAGAACTGCAGTAAGTCTCTCCTCTCTGCCAGGCGGTGGGTTGGTGCTGGAAGCCCAGATCCCTGCATAAGGAGCGGCTATCTAGTGGTCAGATATTGCCGAGCATTTTAGATTTCATAGGTCTGCTGGCTGCAAAGCATTTTCTACCTCACTAGTAAGACTCTTGCATAAAGAAGCTCCAAGCTACCAAGCCAACGAGCCCAGAATGCAACACAGGGAACACTGTCACCTTCAGGGACAGACACTGTCTCTAAGCCACGAGCAAAACCCGCCAGCAACCTGTCAACAGCTTTCTTTCACACGTGGACTGTCAGGTTTGAAAAGCCTTCCGCTTATATTTCAAAAGGCACTGAGCCCAGAAAACATCAAGTGATCATGGCTACAATGTATCTTCCTCACTAACTTTTCTGTGTTAAGAAACCATCTTTGAAGACATGAAGAAAGTTAAATTCCCCACAATGAGACAAAGCGCGTTTGGATATCGACACTATTCTCCACACAAAGCCATCCTCATTTCTTCTTCTACCAGTCACACCGAAGAGGAATTTTAATGCTGAAGCACAGATGTTTGTCTTTTACTACTCATGGCAAATATAGAGGATTCTGTGAACTCTTTGTAGGGAAAGACCATGTCACAGTCAACCAGACGTCACCAGCCCTACCCCAGGGCCCGCGCCCAACTGCAACTCAGTAAAAATGTGTTAAATAAATAATGACAATATGGTCAACTTTTTCTAGGAGATAGCTTAAGTAAAATGACCGACCATCCTGGTTTGTCTGGCACAGAGGAGTTTCCCAGGATTTTCCATACTAACGCCGGGAAAGTCTTTGGACAAACTAGATGAGTTTGTCATCCCACTTAAAGGCTTTCAAGATGGACCAAGATGGCAGACTAGAAGCAGCTCATGTGCTTCTAGTCAAGATGGAAAGGCTTTTCAATTGGACCAAGATGGCAGACTGGAAGCAGCTCATGTTCACTGCTCTCACAGCAAGGAAACAAAAAGGCTAGCGAACACTGACCCGAACTCTGCAGTGAGCCGATATCATGCCACTGTACTCCAGCCTGGGAAACAGAGCAAGACTCCATCTCAACAACAACAAAAGATGTATAGGAACATTGTGACTGGACCGAGGACAAAGGAGTTTTGCAGCCTCCTTCTCCTGACGCCCAGCTACCCATGGTCAGCAGTCACCTCCTTGTTCCCCCATCCCAAATATACAAAGAAGCTTAAGATTCATGCCTTCTAAGATGATTCCTTGGGACATTGGTCTGCCACCTTCTCTGGTCGCTGGCTCTGAAATAAAATTGTTTCCTTCCTCCAGCTCCTTGTCTCTTCACTTACTGGCTGTCGTGCAGTGAGCAGAATAAGCCTGGACTCGGTACGTTTTCAGTCTGAAGTCTCACATTTTGCTAAACTTCATACACTACACCCAAACCTCTGAACCTTGGGAAGTACAGGTTATTTTTTTTTAAATACTTCAATCACATAAACTGTTAACTTTTGGAAGAAAGCAAATCAAATCCATTTTATACAGCCTTTTTATAGAAGTAAAAGTTGTTTTAACTTCTCAAGGGAGTTTTGAAATTAATAAAATGATGTTATAATTGAGAGTAGCCTATTCTAAAATTGTAGTATTACTGTTATTTTCTCTGTGACAAAACTTCAGCAAATGCCATAAAGTGTTGTTCTTTGCCAAGGGAATTTCTAGGCATTTTCAGAGTGCAAGAGCAGAAAGCTTGGTCTTGGGAAGACAATTAGCCTGAAGAGATTTATTTCTGCCTGTGACCAGACCTTTCTGGACAGTTGATGCCACAATAGATAATCACTGCCATTTTTGGGAATTTGCTCTTTGCCTTTTTACTGGTCTGAGGACTTAACATTCACTGTCTTATTTAATGCATTAAATAAGATCTATGTGGTAGGTGCTAAAATATTCAATTTGTAGCCAAAGAATGCACAGCTAGGAAAAGAGATGAGCGTAGATTTAAGCACATACAACCAAATACCAATATCCCTAACATGTAAGTCAAATAATACGGATGGCTGAAAAATGGACAAACGACACTAACATGAAATTCACAAATAAAGCAGTACGTAGATGCAATAAACACACGTGAAGATATTCAATCCCACTAGTAATCTACCAAAACTGGCTAGGCAGTTAAAAACAACCCACAGCTTTTGGGACACTTCTTAATAGAACTGATTAAAGAAAACAGTTTACAGCTAGGCATGCCTGAATTCCCAACATTTTGGGAGGCTGAGGCGGGCAGATTGCTTGAGCTCAGGAATTTGAGACTAGTCTGGTAGCCTGGGTGACATGGTGAAAACCCACCTCTACAAAAAAAATACAAAACTTAGCTGGGTATGGTGGTATGCACCTATAGACTCGGTTACTCAGGATGGGAGGATTGAGACTGGGAGGCAGAGGTTGCAGTGAGCCAAGATCACACCACTGCACTCCAGTCTGGGCAACAGAGACTCTATCTGAAGAAAAAAAAAAAACCACAGAGAAAAAAAGGAAACAATTTACTCCATAACAGAAAGGATCCTTTAAAGTAACATAATTAAACCCCACAAGATGTGCTTGAGAACCCATGAAATTATAAACAGTTATCAATCGACAAGTCCAAGATGGAATAGAAAAATTTCTCCCAATTCCCCCGGCTAAGCATAGCTAATATCCTGGGCGTTAGTCACAAAACAAACACTAGAAGACTGAAAGGCAGAAGACAAAAGCGAGGCCTTCTAGAAGCCCTGAGACCCAAGGAAGCTATACTCAAGCCTATATGCTGCGCACATAGCAACCTGTAGTGACTTCTCTGGGTGTTCTTATTGCATGCTGTATCTTGCACTGGATGCCAGAGAAGCCCACAACCCAGAAATGTCAGTGGCAGGCAACAACAGCAAGCCCCCATGGGAAGCCTGCACTCTCTAGCCAAAGGAGCAGTGCAACAAGACAGAAAATGTTTCGACAGTAATCACCCTCGCCCAGCCAAACACCACAGAAAAATACACGGCCCTACCTCCACTCATGTCAGCAAAGGCCAGGTGGGGTACCTAGATTTCTACCCTTGACGAGCAGGAATCAGGAGTCTGACTGAGTCAGTAGAGGCCACTTGGGATCCTGACTTCCAACCCCACCCAGTAATGATGAGCTCCCCTCACCTACCAGTGTTAGAGGAGGCCAATGGGAAGCCGGATGTCTCACTGCTGTCCACTCCCTCCCCTCCCGTTGGCAGTGAAGATTATTTGAGGAACACTGGCAAGATGCCTCCCTCCCAGCCTGGGTGCTATCACAGAGGCCTAGTGGGAGCATGGACTCCCACTCCCACCCACCTGGCACTAACAAGGAGCCCCGCCTCCCCAAGGGCCACTGGCACCTGGACTTTCACCTCCACCTGATAGAAATGAGGCAAGACCCCCTCCCTCCCACCAGCATGATGTCAGAGGAGACCTGGTAAAACACAAGGTTCAGATAAAATCCAGAGTGTCACAGCATGATACCCTAATGTCCATTGCACAATATTTAAATCACTTATACAAGACTGGGAAAATCTCAATTTGAACAAGAAAAAAAAATCGACAGGTGCCAATACAGACATCACACAAATGTTGAAACTATCGGAGAAGGATTTTAAGCAGCCATCCTAAAAATGCTTCCGTGAGCAACTATTACACTAACATACCTGAAACAAATTTAAAAAATGGGAAGTCTCAGCAAAGTAGTTGAAGACATAAAGAAGAATCAAGTGGAAATTTCAACTGAAAAATACAGTAATCAGAATTTAAAACTCTACGGATGTTTTCACTTCAGCAGAATAAAGAGAACAGAAAAAAGTATTAGTAAACTGGAAGATAGGACAAAAGAAATTATCCGATCTGAACAACAGGAAGAAAATAGACTGGAAAACACAAAAGATACAAAAAATCAGCCAAATGTGGTGATGCACGCTGGCAGCCCCAGCTACTCAGGAAGCTGAGGCAGGAGGATCCTCGAGCCCAGGAGGTCAAGGCTGCAGTGAGCCATAATTACACTACTGCACTCCAACCTCGGTAACAGAGGGAGACCCTGTCTCGAAAACAAAAACAAAAACAAATTTTTTTTAATTATCTGAAAATAGAATGTACAGTTTTACATTTAAAAGCCTAAAGTATGAATGAGTGTCTAGAGATAGAACAATTACCAGTTCTCTTTAAGAGGTAGAAATAAGGCCAGGCATGGTGGCTCAGGCCGATAATTCTAGCATTTTGGGAGGTTGAGGGGGAGGATTGCTTGAGGCTAGGAGTTTGAGGCCAGCCTGGGCAACATAGCAAGACCCCCATCGCTACAAAAAAATTAAAAACATTAGCTGGGTGCAGTGGAGTGCACCTGTATCCCAGCTACTTGGGAGGCTGAGGCGGGAGGACCCCATGAGCCCAGGAAGGCTGCAGTGAGCTATGATAGTGCCACTGAACTCTTGAAAAAAATTATTTTAAAGAAATGAAGTAGAAATATTATATGAGCCAAGAAACACAGAAAAAATTAAACATTATAGTAAGATTGGTAGGAAGCTTCTAAAATGCCCCCAATGATTCCTTCCACTTGAGCATGGGTTAATCTAGTGATTTCATTCTAATAAATAGAATATAGCAAAAGGGATGGGATGCCACTTCCAGCAACAGGTCGCAAAACAAGACTTCCATCCTGCTCGTGCTCCCCCGGCTCTTCTCGTTGGCTCACTCTGTTGAAACTGCTATTTGCCCTACGGGGAGGCCCCTGTGGTAAGGAATTGAGGGCATCCTCTGACCAAGAGCCAGCAAGGAGCTGAGGTCCTCGTGCTAACATGATGTGAGGAACTGAATCCTTCCACAACCAGATGAGTGAACTGGAAGCAGGCCCTTCCCTAGCCAAGCTTTGAGATGGACAGTAGACCCAGGAGCAGCACCTGACTGTGGCCTTGTGACAGACTGAGCCAGAGCAGAGTCCAGATTCCTGACCCACAGTGACTGTGACATGCTACATGTTGTCATTTTAGGCCACTCAGTTTTAGGGTAATTTGATACCCAGGAATAGATAACTAACACACAAACTATCTCCAAAACATGTACCAAGAGTAGGTTGTTGTAGGGGCAAGTCTTTAACATATCAAGAAGCGGACGGGAGCAGTGCCTCACACCTGTGATCCCAACACTTTGGGAGGCCGAGGTGGGCAGATCACGAGGTCAGGAGTTTTGAGACCCACCTGGCCAACACAGTGAAACCCCATCTCTACTAAAAATACAAAAATTAGCCGGGTATGGTGGCGAACGCCTGTAATCCCAGCTACTCAGGAGGCTAAGGCAGGAGAATCGCTTGAACTCAGGAAGCAGAGGGTGCAGTGAGCTGAGATAGTGCCATTGCACTCCAGCCTGGGTGACAGAGAAAGACTCTCTCTCAAAAAAAAAAAAAAAAAGAAAAGAAAAAAGCAGATAAATTCCAGGCTATCTAAATTGTTCCAGAGCACAGGCACAAACTGGCATCAATTTATGAAGTAATGTGGTTCATAATTTTCCTTTTGGGGGCAATGTCAGATTTTTTTATCTGGATTATAAATTTGGAAACTGACTATTGAAAAAGAGGGGTATAAGGAAATTTCCTTTATATAACAAAAAATAAAGATTTATCTCACATGAACAATTAGCATTATATTTAGCAGCGAATACTCGAACGTTCGTACTAAATCAGGAATGCCTATCACCATTACATGCTTCTGGGAGAACAAAAATAGAAGGTGTGGTATAAATGTTGGAAAGGTGGCAACACTACCATCATTTGAAGCTGGTGTCTCTGAACACCAAAAAGAATCATGAAAAATTATTATAACTAATCAAGTAGTTCAATAAGGTGACTAGCGTTTATAGACAGCAAATCTTCCAAAACAAAACGATGAAAGTACTGGAGGAAATGGTCAATATAACTTTGACAAGTAGATAAATACAGATATAGTTAAAGACATGAGAAACTGGAGTTCTCTGAGGAAGGAGAGAACGGTGAGCTAAACACGAGCGTGAGAAAGTGAACACCTCGCTGCCTGCAGGAAGGAAGGGCAACATCACTACTCAGGGCTCCCACCCGCCAGCTGTGGCTCCAAGGATTCCCTTCTCAAGGACGATCTGACAATGAGACGAGCATGAAAGAAAGCTCAGCACTTGGGAGGTGTCGCCATGTACCCTGGACATTCTGATTTGCCCTTTGGTGAGTACCTTCACACCGCACCCCATGACCGTGTAACACTCTGATTTGCCCTTTGGTGAGTACCTTCACACCGCACCCCATGACCGTGTAACACTCTGATTTGCCCTTTGGTGAATACTTTCACACCGCACCCCATGACCGTGTAACACTCTGATTTGCCCTTTGGTGAATACTTTCACACCGCACCCCATGACCGTGTAACACTCTGATTTGCCCTTTGGTGAGTACTTTCACACCGCACCCCATGACCGTGTAACACTCTGATTTGCCCTTTGGTGAGTACTTTCACACAGCACCCCATGACCGTGTAACACTCTGATTTGCCCTTTGGTGAGTACTTTCACACCGCACCCCATGACCGTGTAACACTCTGATTTGCCCTTTGGTGAGTACTTTCACACCGCACCCCATGACCGTGTAACACTCTGATTTGCCCTTTGGTGAGTACTTTCACACAGCACCCCATGACCGTGTAACACTCTGATTTGCCCTTTGGTGAGTACTTTCACACCGCACCCCATGACCGTGTAACACTCTGATTTGCCCTTTGGTGAGTACTTTCACACCGCACCCCATGACCGTGTAACACTCTGATTTGCCCTTTGGTGAATACCTTCACACCGCACCCCATGACCGTGTAACACTCTGATTTGCCCTTTGGTGAGTACTTTCACACCGCACCCCATGACCGTGTAACACTCTGATTTGCCCTTTGGTGAGTACCTTCACACCGCACCCCATGACCGTGTAACACTCTGATTTGCCCTTTGGTGAATACTTTCACACCGCACCCCATGACCGTGTAACACTCTGATTTGCCCTTTGGTGAGTACTTTCACACCGCACCCCATGACCGTGTAACACTCTGATTTGCCCTTTGGTGAGTACTTTCACACCGCACCCCATGACCGTGTAACACTCTGATTTGCCCTTTGGTGAGTACTTTCACACCGCACCCCATGACCGTGTAACACTCTGATTTGCCCTTTGGTGAGTACTTTCACACAGCACCCCATGACCGTGTAACACTCTGATTTGCCCTTTGGTGAGTACTTTCACACCGCACCCCATGACCGTGTAACACTCTGATTTGCCCTTTGGTGAGTACCTTCACACCGCACCCCATGACCGTGTAACACTCTGATTTGCCCTTTGGTGAATACTTTCACACCGCACCCCATGACCGTGTAACACTCTGATTTGCCCTTTGGTGAGTACTTTCACACCGCACCCCATGACCGTGTAACACTCTGATTTGCCCTTTGGTGAATACTTTCACACCGCACCCCATGACCGTGTAACACTCTGATTTGCCCTTTGGTGAGTACTTTCACACCGCACCCCATGACCGTGTAACACTCTGATTTGTACCTTCACACCGCACCCCATGACCGTGTAACACTCTGATTTGCCCTTTGGTGAGTACTTTCACACCGCACCCCATGACCGTGTAACACTCTGATTTGTACCTTCACACCGCACCCCATGACCGTGTAACACTCTGATTTGCCCTTTGGTGAGTACTTTCACACAGCACCCCATGACCGTGTAACACTCTGATTTGCCCTTTGGTGAATACTTTCACACCGCACCCCATGACCGTGTAACACTCTGATTTGTACCTTCACACCGCACCCCATGACCGTGTAACACTCTGATTTGCCCTTTGGTGAGTACTTTCACACAGCACCCCATGACCGTGTAACACTCTGATTTGCCCTTTGGTGAGTACCTTCACACCGCACCCCATGACCGTGTAACACTCTGATTTGCCCTTTGGTGAGTACTTTCACACCGCACCCCATGACCGTGTAACACTCTGATTTGCCCTTTGGTGAGTACTTTCACACAGCACCCCATGACCGTGTAACACTCTGATTTGCCCTTTGGTGAGTACCTTCACACCGCACCCCATGACCGTGTAACACTCTGATTTGCCCTTTGGTGAGTACCTTCACACCGCACCCCATGACCGTGTAACACTCTGATTTGCCCTTTGGTGAGTACTTTCACACCGCACCCCATGACCGTGTA